CAAACTGAAATCTAGGGATATCATTGGCCATTCTATTTTTTTTAATTTTTTTTTGTGAATATACATTTTATTTACATGTGACATGTACAATGTCAAAGATAGTTTGAGCTAAAAACAACAGGAATTCATAACATATAATAAATTGTTTTCTTGACTAAACAAAAGAACACATTAAACAACATATGTCAAACTTAACCAAATAATACTGTAAATATGTGAACCTGATTATGCAGAACATATATACAGTGTATACACTTTACAGCAAATAGATCACAAACAATTATCTTTATCATCATTGTAGTATATTTCCAAGAAGAATTCCTGTAATAAAATTATACAAATAATACATCTTAATCATTTCTAAATAAATGCCACAAAACAATCATCTTTCAAGATACAATAGGGTTAAAAAAGAATATTTGATTATAATCCTGAGTTGATACCGTAGAATAATAATATCTGTCATATGCCATTCTAAAATTAGTTTAATATTCTAAAGGATTTTCCTCGAAACGTATATACGTCCAAATTATGAAATAATCTAAAGTAGTATCGGAAACACACTTTCTAGTTAAATTTCTCGGATAATTTAAGGTCTGTGAATTTCCTTCAATAAATATTTTACACTGCTTTAAAAAAAAATCAGTAATTCTCTAGTGAATATCGTATTTAACATAATAGTTAAAATGAGTTATAAATGACATTCTAAAATGACGAGACGACCAATAACGTTCACGATCCCGAAAAAAACATGTGCATACCTAAAGACACCCTGCAAGTACATACATTTTTACTTCGTCCGAGTATCTTTTTAAAGATACTTCCGATTATCTTTTTAAAGGTACTTCTTGTTATTAATGTTAACTTATGATGTAGACATTTCTTAAGATATATATATTTCTCAGTATCTTATAAATACATTGGATTTTGTCGCAATACTCTTCTGACCCTGCTGGGTTCCTTTCCAGTGGTCCTGTGTGGTTGTACAAAACAGACGTCATGACCTTAAACGCTGAATGATCACTACTTTCTATATTTGTGCTCTGTATACACTTTCCTTTATCAAACAAGTACGCATCTTAACACTCTAAGATTAATTTCTTTGATAACACATTTTATTGATTCGTAGAGACGATAAATTAATACAACTTGTATAAATATAAACAAACCCGACCCTCTTGAACCGGATTTGTATTTGAAGGTGTTAAGTAAACATAACAGATTCCATTTATAAGTGATTTAGAGATTTATGTATATAAAAGAGATGTAGACAAATAACTATTCTGCATTTAACTTAATAACATTCATGTGTTTTAATGAAATGTGTAATTAATTGATTCACCATAAAGAAATATGTATAATCCAAAATTGTTTTAACTCAATACCGATAGCGATAGCGATAGCATATATTGATAACTGTTTAAACAAACTATAAAACAATAAATCAATGCTAACGGTGTGAATGATTGCAGTAGACATTGTTTTAGACTTCATATAGTCGGTGCCGTAACATCTTTTCTGAAAATCTGCCTGTAATGTTAAATGGTGCTCAGTTAATATGTTTCTGCTAAAAATAAGGGTTGTTTTTTCAAAAAAACTGCAAAAATATTCGCTGCCGAAAACTTTTTGTGAAAAGGATTTTTTTTTAAAGCAAACAAGGTTAAAATATATTAAAAGTTTACTGTGTATGTAAAAAATTTGTTCTTTCTTTTTAAAATTTGGGCCTATGAAAAATTTCAATAAATTTTGAATAAAAATTGAAATTTTTTGGGTTTTTTTTTGCTTTATTTTCTTCCCATTTTTAAACCCCCTAAAAGGACAAAAAAGGCCCTTAGTAATAGGGAATGATTTAACCCCTAAAAGGACCAAAAGGCCTTAGTAATAGGGAATGATTTGACATTCTTCTTTTATATTGTTTACTGTTATAAGTTTCTGTAACAAGTAATAAGCAAATATCCGAAGTGAAGAAATGTATGTGATTAACAATGAAATACGCTAAAGATTTTTTCTCTTTTGTTCCGTCTAGTAAAAAAATTTTCACCCCCCATTGTTGAAAACCTTTCTAAAGAATGTTTCCAGATTTTTTGGCAAAGGGTCAAAAATAGGGATTTTTCCTTCACTTTTACAAAAAGGGTTTTTATAGCCCATCTTTAAAGGGAATTTTTTAAAGAAACTGGTTATATGTCATGTTGGTCAAGCATACATTCATAGGTTATACTGATTTATATCTAGCTGGAAATAGATTGAAAACCCAGTTCATATAGTCCAATAAACATTTATTTAAAAAGCAGCATCGCAATGATATCTTATTATTTTGTCTCATAATATTGTGCAAGTGAAATGCAGATTAATGAACGAAAATACAATGGCTGTAATTTTCTTAAACTTTCTATACTGCATAGTAACACTATTAACACAGAGACTTGATGAAGTAGAATAATTATGATAATTCCATGTGAAATAATATAGATGTTAATAATATTGATATTAGGAAATTGTGTGAAAAGTCTTTTTTATTTATTTCAAAGATAGAATATACAATAAAATATCTTTAAATGATATATTTCATCCAAAATAAAACGAAATTCTATTTTATTCACCCTTCAAAAGGAATTTATTCAAACGTAAATATGTTATAATACATGATTCAGGCATAGACCAAGTTGTTTTGATAGAATTATTTTGCGGCGCCATGTACTTTTATACTTATTTTATTATCTTAGAGAAGATAATTATTGTTTCATCTGAGATTAATTAGTAAATATTAAGCCAAATAATGGATACGGACAAACGTGTTACAAAATTCATGTTTTACTTGTAGGAATGTTGACTTTCATATACAATGATAGAATTATTGTACAATATTTACTTGTTTTATATGATTTTGATTTGAATGGCAAACGTATTTACAGATACGAACACAAATGTTTTATTATATAGTTGTACTGTTTTGTTCTTTATTAATTAAAATTAATATGAAAACCACATTATGTATTTATGTTTATTTTCACCTTGCTTTTTCTGTTAAAATATATTAATTAAATTTGATATTCAATTAGTAGTATAAATAAGGTTTGTGATAAATAAAATATGCAGAATTGTGTAATTTGATAATACTATCTTTGGATTTATTTTATAGAAGACTTTGAAAATAAAACTCAGCGGATAGTTGAAAATAGAATTAAAAATGATTATATTTTTGGCAGTATTGTAAAGTTGTTTGTGACAAATAAATGTATAAAGTAAATCTGTTTCAGTATATTGATATACTGTCATATTTAACTTCGAAAAAGAAAATAGGAAGTGTATATATGTCGCGGTGTGATAAAGCTATCTTAGAATTTAATTTTTAGGATTTTCTGCATCTATAATTGTTTTATTTATAAATGCATACATGCAAATTTCTTGAAATAAAACTTTTCTTTTCAAAACAAATCTCATATAAAAATGTATTCTTGCTTATTTATCATAATGAAAATTCCATTAAGGTTTATAAGAAATTTTTATGGCAGAACAGATGTCTTTAATATTATTCAGAGCAATATTGTTTGTCTGTACAGACGTTATCTTATAATTATGTAATGGATACAATACATCCATCAGAAAAGAATAAATATTAGTTTTTATTTGCCAGCTACATAGCAAACCTGGCATGTTTGCATAACAATATAATATGCTGTCATTTGGAATGAGGGCGATAAGGAATATTAAACAGATTGCTACAGTTCATTGGAAGAAATGTCATTAGTAAGAAAGCGAGAAGATTTGAAAAATGACATATCAATATAGACTAGAACGCAAACATCAAACCAGCAGAATATATAATACGCAATATATGATAAGCTTAAGAGTGCTTTATTGGTATTTCTAAATAAATTTATGTTATATATAACCGTACTTACCAACATATTGATTGGAAAGTAGGTAAAGATCTTTAAATATATACTATGCTTAAATTTGATATAAGAAAACATTGATAATAGCTACACAGTCTCTTTGTAAATATAAAATAAACATGTTTTGTCTCAAAACAAAGTAGATATGTTATGTTTAAAATTCTACGCTCTATTGGTGGTCACACTATGAGTATGTTGTGTCAGTCTTTTAAAGAAAAAGACCAACTTTACTGGACCTGCAATAGGGAATGTAGCTTCCCATACATAGTTTATTCATTCTTTTATTAAAATTAGACATATTCAGTAAGAATTTCATAGATTTCATAATTTTTCTGTGATTAAAATATTTTATTCGATATAAGATTATTACATGTTTTACATTTATCTGAAAATATATCATACTAATTAATCACGAATCTTGAAATATTTACACTCAAGTCAATCTTACCAGTAGCTTCAAATGGAAAACTTTTGTCTGCTGATTTCAACCAATTAGCATTAAAATAGCATTGATTTCGTTTTGTAGATTTATGGTATGAATATTGATAATAATATTTCATAGATATTGTGTAGATTTTGTAGTAGAATGTAACAATTAAATCTGATGCAAATATCCCGGTTCTATTTAATATGAAAACATACTTGATAAGTTAAAGATATTTAATCGGCTTTATCAAGTTTGTAAAGTTAGGAATATACTATATAAATAATGTATTCTAATAATTAGAAATAATCTTATTTTGCTAAAAATCGTTTATAAGTTGAAGCCTACACAACCAATCTAAAAGTTTCAGGATGAAAAGTGAAATCAAAACATCAATTTCATATATTTAGTCATGGTCTTGACGTCATTACAATTCGCAAGTATAAAACACAATATTTTGTTCGATCGGTAAAATACAATATAATATCTCATGTAATGCTCCTAGCACCAGTTAAAGCAGTAATTAATACCATCTAACGTAACGTGATGATTTTTGAAGGACCAGAACAATTGATAAGAACATAAATATACACATGTATAAAAACATAAAAACATTGCTAACTTCTTGCACTTCATAACGATTGACCATCTGGAAAAATGCAGGAATATAAAATACTTACAGTTCTGTGGCATTTCTTGGAAGAGTTGACCGAACATCCTTTATATTTTTGCCGGCACAAGTAACAAGAATTTTGCCTGATTTTGTCACTTTGCAAGAACAATCTTTGTCACAGTAAGCTTCTGTTCTTACAATACAGTAATTAAATATAAGCAAAAGACACACGGTAAGATGCAGCTCCATAACTAGTGCCTTTTATCGTCTATAATAAACATAATAAAAATGTCAATAATAGTTCACACATCTCCTTCCATTTTGCTATCTAAATGAATTAATATATTACCAGACAACTAGCTTTGGTCTGCTTTCTACCGCTTAATCCACATACAAAAAGGAACCATATATATTATGAGTTCCTAACACAGTTACAGTTTCACTATAAGTGACTAATTTTATTTCCATTATGATATTAGTTAATGCTTAAATGACTTTCTATATTTTTACAATTACTTCAACTTCAGTCCTCTATTTTAATTTGTTTGATTGAACGATAAATTCCTGGTTAGTCGACTTTTTCAGTAAAATAAACTCAAAACTCAGACAAGAACAGGTTTCCAATGATTTTACATTTTGCAATGCATTGCGAACTTCATTCTACTTAACACTTTTTGTTGACTATATATCCGTTTAAGCACTCATTCCACTATCTAACAGACATTTTATATTTCATTTTATATTGGATTTCAAACATTAGAAAGAACGTAAATTTAATATTAAAAACATTTATTATCGGTTATCAGTGATATGACTGTGGTGTAATTTATAAAATGATTTTGTTAAATTGATAAACCTGTCAACATGTTAACAACCACTTCTCCATCAATTAATCCACTCTTTATTTATGTTCTTCTGATAAGGAATCTCATTCATTTCACCTTTATACCTCTCGGGCTATTTTAGATAAAATGTTCATAGTAGTGTTCAATATGTTCATGTTATTTCGTACTGCGTGTAAATGAAAATATTTATCAAACATACCGAATAAAAAGGTATGAACATTTCGTTTTTATTTATATAAAAAATGGAACAGGCAAGTCCTCCTACCTTTTTTTTAGTTTTCAATTAGAAATTGACGTACGGATATGTGGTCTAGGAATGAAGAAAAAAACAGAAACTGAAGTAAAATACGTTTGAGGATATGTTTAGGTATTTTTTAATTAATTTTGAGCACACAATTTGCAGTCTTCAAAAATGAATTAATATAAATGGCAGAATGTGGTTAGCTGTTACGCTATTTATTGTATGCCTGTCATCATTGTGACTTTGTATGTTTTATTAATATAATGTTTTTGCTCTTGTATTTGTAAATAATAAAACGAGCTGATCCAATAAACATCTGTTAATGCATTGGAATTTTTTAAGAGGGAAAATTAAAGTAGTAGTTTTTATAAATTAATTTGTTGAAGCGATAAGTTAATTTTTTGAGTAGTAAAAAAAATTTTGTAAATGGGATATTAAGTTAAATTTAGTTGTCTATGAATTTAGTTGTTGAAGATAAAATCCGTTTGCTGTCTTCATCATACCTTTGCTGATATATGAATGTAACAGATATAAAAACACATATGACACATTCATTCTTTCTTTTTTAAATTGATATTATATCTAACAATTTCTATTGCTGTTCATTTATTTAAACGCGTACATGATAAGTGTTCATCTGGTATCAATCCTTTAAATCCTAAACTTGATTATTTGAGAAATGTTTATAAACGACGGCATACAATGTATATTTATTATTTGATTTTGGTAAATAATAATACTCAAACTAGAAAAACGTGTTCTAGAATTTTATAAATGGTTACCGAGACATTGTTGAAGCTCTGTCAACCGGAGTTTTAAAACACATAACGTATTCACGATTTTACTTGGCATTACAGACTTTTAAAGCATCAATAGATATTCACATAGGGAGAAACTGGACATTCATTTATCATCCCGTCAAAATTTTCTTAAAGCCCAAGGGATTTCCCATAATTAATACCATGCTAACATACTCGAACAATGTTATGACAGTAGTCTACGAGAGTCTTTGACAATAAGATAAATAAATAGGAACCTCATACATCGTATCTCTTGAGAATAAAGTTAGACATGACGGTATCTAGGTAATTTGTATTTACAAATTGCAATTATTTATTATGTAATGAAACGGAAACATTAACGGTAAAACATGTTGTTGTTTTTTGTGGTGGTGCATATTTTTCCTAACTGTAAATTAATCAGGTCAGATGTAGAAATATGACAAATTAATGTATCTTGTAAAGAGCATGGAAGTTTGGTCATTTTTTCTTATTAATATACCTAATTTTTAAATGTCATTTTCATTATAATAGTATACAATTACGCTTGTTAATTATCTTAATAACATACTTTCGTGTAATGAAAAGTGACTTATAGACCGAACGTAAAAAGAAACTATGTGCCTTTTGCGACAAAAAATGAACAAAACTACAAAAAGACAACATTAAATTTCTTCTTAACGTGTCGTGTCTTCATAATCAACCGGCATTTCCTTGAAATATTACTTCAACAGCTTAAACGTTACGAATGTTATAAACAACATAGTTGGCGTATTGTTTTCGTAATATCAATAAAGAATTTCATGGACGCTTTCAAAAGTATTATGTCTTTTATATATTTAAGGTTTTGTGAAATCGTTTGTAGTTTACTAACAATACAAGAAGATACTTGGAACATATTTCACACATCAACTCAAGCAGTATTCATAATTGCACATTTTTATCATCATCATCAACATCATTGTAATTATTGTCATTGTTGAAAGTATATAATTTCCTTTCAAGATAATGCTATGTTCACTACCATTTAGTGCATGTGTGAATCATACGAGTTATGGAATGAATAAAGTACTTCCATGCTAGTGTGATTTGATAGAACGTTTTGATTCTATTTAGATTGCGCAATCAAGTCAGTCTTAACAGCCGATAAAAATTTGCTAAGATGAAAAACATAAGGATCCAAATGAAAATTGTACATGTTTTTTTGACTTTATGTTATTTTAATTTTACCTTCAGATTTTACCAATTACCGCACGGGAAATATCAGGAAGAAAATATATTTTTAAAATTTTAAAAGGGGAAACAAAAAACATCCTTTTTTTGATTATCATTTACATAGTTGAAATTAAAAACTAAACCCTTTTACATTAATCTAGTTTTCGTAGACATTGAAACCTAGAGGTACGATTTTTGACAAAAAAAATAAAAAATTATGGACTTCAAACTTTAAAAATTTTAATTTTGTCAGACATTTTTCCAAAGTATTGTTTTGGGAAATTTTTAAAGCGATTTCATTTATTATTTATTTGTACTTAAGTGTTTTTGGGACCAGAAAATAAAAAAAAAGCCTCTTTAGGGGTGCTTTGCTTTAACCCCAATAAAAATTTTAAAATTATTTTTAAAAAGTAAAAAAAAATTAATTTTTAACTTTTTTAACCTACCGGGCAACAAAACTGCACCATTCAATTGCCAGACTTAACAAAAGCATTTATCGGGTGGGCCCCCATGAAAAAAATTTCATTTTCATTTCATATTTTAGGTTTTTCCCCTTTTAAAAATTTGATTATTTTTTGTCGTGAATAAAAGAAAACAAAAACAATTCTTTAAGTTTTTAAAGGGGCGGGGGGAAAGAGGAATTTTCAATAACTTGGTTCATGTTTTAAAAAATAAAATTTAAAAACCGGGAAACTAAATCGCGTTAAAATTTTTTAAACCCCGGAAAAAAAGCTCCTTACCCATTTTCACATTGGGTTTTTTGGAGAAAAATTGTTAGGGCTTAAAAAATTGTTTTGGGGGTTAAAACCCCAATTCAAAAAAAAAGGGGAACATAGAGGGTACGAATAGGGGTTCGTTCAATCATATTTTATCATAGCTCTTATCAAATATTTTTATAATACAAAGTATTTTTCTACAACCTCACTTGACACATTGACAATCAAATGTCAAAATATTGTTTGCATTAACATTAATAATTGTAACATTGTTTTTATAGTAACATTTTTGTTGACATGAGTTGAACATGTGCTGCTTGCAGACGATGATAAAAAAACTTAATTTATTTTAAAACTTGACAAATTTAACAATCCAAAATATGTTAAAGAAATAAAAATGAAAGTGTTATTTATGTCCGTAATACTTATTTAATGCAATATATTGCAACTTTATATAAAGATGAAAACGTCATTTCTAGCATGATTTCCCAAGAGGTAACATGTCTGTGGTCCTTGTTTATCTATTCACATGTCTCTCAGGCTTTCTTGAATGTTCTTGATAAGACGTTTCCAGAGTTATAATACCTATTACAGAAACATCTCGGAATATCTTCAAAGAATTATACTAAAGAAAATTGTACGAAAAGTAAAAAACATTCAAGATGCAAGTAATAATTTACGTTTTGTGCGATTTAACATTTACTTTGCAGTATTAATTACCTTATTTTTACTGCGTGGCTAACGCAGTCAGGGTTATTTTTTATAATATTTTGACTTCTTATTTTGGTAATTTGCGTGAATTGTACGGGCCGATTGCAATGTGCAAATTACTTTCTTTGTTCACTTCACAATATTTTACTTTTAAACATTTTCAATTTTTTCATGAAAATTAGCATTAATCTGGAAGCATCTGCTTTAAAATTTTAAATTGTTTTTTTAAATAATATTGGTCTAGCCAATTCAATAGAACATGTTTTCGCAATTTTCGTGCTATGCAGTCATCAAAATAAATCAATTTAACATTTTTAAACGCTACGATAATCTTATATAAGTTGTATACACTTAATTCTTTCCATAAAGATCCGGATCATGTCAGGTCAGACTTGTTTTTGTCAAACTAACAATGTAAATACTGTAAAATGTATTTGATATGACGTCAGACCATCGATAATAAAATTGCCAAACGTAAAATTGCAAGTGATTTCTAGTGTTTATTATTGACTTAAAATATCTGTACAATTTAAAATCTTTTGATATAGTCCTCTCCTGTTAGACTTTGGTCGTGTATAATTGGTTTTAACAAATTTAAGTTTTTATTTCAATTGTAGATAATAACGTGATTCTTTCGTGATATTTACCGCATTTCGAAATGAAGTTAGTGCAAGTTATACAAATTACTCGATGCATGCAAATATTAATTAATATTTTGTATACATGTATTAACATATACGTTAAATTTCAGTGTTTTATGTTGACAAATACTATATTATGAAAGAAAAAATAGACTCAAAAAAAATTCCCTTCAATCAAAATCTGGAGCCCATTGTACACATAAAGTAAATTAAATTTCATGTAAATATGCATTATACTGTTTTGCAGATTTGAAAAATGATAATAACTTTTAGTCGAACTGACACTGAATTATATATACATTTGCTATTTTTATGGACATAAGAGGTTTTAAAGTATTTAACTGTTGTTTTTTGTTTTGTTGTTGTTTTTTTTGTTGTCTGTGTTCTGTAATGTATTGTCATTCACATGGTTTAACTACACTCAGGTGCTCGCTCGGGTCTGAAATAATTCACAGAGAGGCATTAAATGTATGTATTAAAACACATACAAACCCATTATATGATGTATTTTTACAGTACATGACAAACATCGATGTTGACTGAATTTGTCCAAAGTGATATTGGTTATAGTGCTCTTGAGAGATATCAATAGTCATTTAGTAAGAAAGTATTGTAATGTCAGGTGATAGCAATTCAAAACTCATACCTGTCCCGTATTATATAATGTAAGTACTTTTATCTAATAATAATAAT